CGATACAAATTAAGCTCGAGGCGTTGTTCATATTTTCCAGCGAATCTTGTATTTATATCAACGCAAACAGAAACGTGCAGCGCCTGAACGCGAATGCACATGAAAAATATCGATCGAGCAACCCCACTGGCCTGTTTCGTCGACACGTATCGAAAAGTAATTTGTATACTGCGTGCTGGGCGAAGTATTTTTAAAATATTACGCCGATTTACGCCTGCTCCCGCGTGAACGCGGCCGCCGTTATTTCTCTTGGAAGTCAAAAGTTTGGCAGCACGTGCCGACTGCATCCTACGGATCAAAAAAGTTCGAACTTTATTAATTAAAGCCCCGTACGTTCGCTGCACTCGACGGGATTTTAACTGTTTGCGAATTGGCGTCGTTAACTTCCCTCGAAATTCGAAGGGTACGCGAAACTGATTCAGATAAATTATAGAAGTGCCCCCTCGACGTTCGTAGGGGGATATGTTCCTAGATCGACAAAAATAGTGAAAACATGCGACTAATCTGTACTCCCCCTTTCCTGGTTATCCTCTCTCAAAACAATTGTGTTGTTACAATAACCCAATTATCGGTACTTAGGATTGAATACAAGTTCGTAAGCTCATTTCTTTCCAATTATTCCTTAACCTCTTCAGGGATAAATTTATTAAGATCAGAAAAAAATAATTTTTATTTATTTTTCAATTGCATTTATTTAAAATATATTTATAAATGTTAATGACAATCAATTGGTAGAATATTTGTCTTCATGAGGAATTTCAAAGTGAATATTTATTCACAATAACGTCCATTGTATCTTTTGGAATAATGCTTGAGTGAACGAGAAAGTATACTTACATATATGTGCCAGTATCCCTCAAAAGCTTGTGCAAATATTTTTCTTTTTGTAAGTGCTACCTACTGGAATAAACATAAATGAAACTGGTAAGGTGATTTATTGTGAAATTATATTTATTTTTGTAAGGAAAGTAACATTCACATGTGAACACGTATACACTCAACTCCTTTTTTACACGGAAGAAACATTCCTCAAAAAATCGTATAAAAAAACATGCAAAATAATACGTTTGCTATAGTAAAATGGGAGATATGTTCCAAGTTATTAAACAACCCTATAAGATAAAATAAATAACTATATTTCATTCAAAAAACCGTATAAAAAAGTGACAAAAATTTATATGTAAATACATTTATATATTTAACAGCAAAATAAAATTCATACACATTTCAATCATATTCTAACTAAAATAAAATTATTATCACGTAAATATTGCAAAAAGAAAAAATTTAACATTTTAATCAAAAATACTGGAAATAATATAAGTTATTATTCGTCGCTGCTTGATAATAATCGCATATGTTTACGGCCAGATGAACCAAAATCGCTATCCTCGCTAGAGAGATCTACCACATCCACCAAGTTTGAATCCAATAAAGATATTCGTCTGGTTATAACATTTTAATAAATTGTGTGCTTTCTGTAAGTTCTTGCGGTATTGACCTTCTTGTCAGAAAATCTGTTATTCTTTTGCTCTTTTGGTTTTGCAAGTCCCAATAATTTTTAAAGCCTGTCGAAGGCAATAACACGTATAAAAAAAAACAGTTTTTTCTCTTGCATCGTGTTAAAGGAAATAAATCGTGTAAAAAGAAGAAAGGCGGTTTTTTTTCGACCGTGTTATTTCAAAACTGTGTAAAAAAAAGGCCGTCTGAAAAAAGAGTTAGGTGTAGGTTATTTGCGAACGTGAACGACAATTGTTAACCTTTTTTCATGAAAAAATAGTGTCGTACTACACAATACGTTCAATCAGAGCATTTCTCTTTGATAAACATTGTGAAGCAAGTGCTCATTATAAAATATTTTAACTATTGAATATTTAAACATGAGTTAACACGATATTTAGAAATTTACGTGATAATAAGGAGCAAGCAAAGCAGATATTAAATATTCGGAAATTTTATTTCATGGAAACGAATAAGTAAAACAGGACATAAAATATTTACTTCTGATAGCGATTTCCTGTAACTGTACCCTACTCAAATATTTTAAATCAATAATAATATGGGAAATGAATTAAACAATAATATAGAAAAGTTCATTTTCCTTCAGATCGTGTCAACTAATTAAAATTTCTGCAAATGTAATTCAAGTTTTACCACAAATTTCGACAAATGAATTTATTTAGTATATTAGGATCATTAGGTTAACATCAAGTGAAATGGTATTGAAATTTAATTTCGAAAGCTGAATTAAATTCCAATACCATTTTATTTCATGTTGACCCAATATACAAAATAAATATTAACTGCTGTCTGGAAGTATAAATATCCAATATAAGTAGAAACAAAATGAAATGTTTGTCTTCTGATACTTTCAATAAAAACCGATGTCGTTGCATACCACATGGGACATGCAAGTATGCAATTCGGGATACTTGTACATGCTCCTAATTTCGGGAAACCCGGCCCGCAAGTCCTAAAACCCATTACTGTACCGATGTGTTCGAATTCGATGTATACGTGAGTTCAAAACACGTGACAGAAGCACCAAACCCTAATTAGAATTTCGAGCTCTCCTGACTACAAATAAATTATGATTCGAAGAAGAGAACGTAATTCATTATTAATTAAACCTGATCATTTTATAAAAAATTATTGCTGACTTCTCCGCATTCAACAGTCTTGGAAGCTCATATTTTACGATTTTTTAGTTTTCGTCCACTCATAGCTACAAATCGTCTGCATGCATTTTCTAAGATCAGCCAAAACATTTGTTGGTATTGACGCAAAATATTTTAAATTGATTTGCATAGAGACTGCGGCCAAAAGAATGATACAAGCGAGCAGAAGATGATTCCTTATGCAAAAATAAATTAGAAAAATAAATTAGTATCCAACAAACTTCCAAATCTCATTATCTGGGAACGAAGCATCAGCTAAAAAAATTTTATTGTACAATTTTCGTCTTATTTTTGCATACAACATAACCTTCTGCTCGCTTGTACCTTCCTTTCGGCTACACCCTCTATACTCTTTCAAATAAAATATCTTCATCGTAGTTCCTACAAATAATTCATATTCTTTCTACAAACTGATTCCTTAATGGAGTAGGAACTGAATACAATAATGTACCGAATTCTACTTTCAGACAAATTAAATATTTAGGTATTTAAATGACCTCAGATAAGTTGAAAAAATTCACTTATTTACATTATTATAATTAACAACTGATCAATATGAGCGATGTGATGTGGTATAAAATGAAATACTTTCTTGCTTACATTCCGAGTCGTCGAAATACAACCGGAATTATTTATGCACCAACTTAATATTCTCCTCTCTACTGTGGTATTATAGAACATAATCAATTCAGTACTTCATCATTTAATTATTTCAATGCTTGGCCTATTTTGGATATAATTAATACATTTTATTCGCTGATTTAATACGTAATTATTGGTAATTTCGGTACTCTTGAATTAAGTACGGTGCTTTATGCGGAGTACTCTAATTACGACAACACGGTACTGCTCAGAAATCCGTTAATAGGCTTTAGGAAATCAACAGTTATCGAATGCAGTCCATTAATTAGATAAAAATTCGAAGGGGCACCACTTTAAATCTGTGTTCTGGTTATCTTATTAATACACGTGTATTACTTGATACTAGGATTGAAAAACCCGATAATAGCTTATATAATTAAACGAATAAGTTTAATTAAATTGAGTGAATGATTAATTTGTGCTAGCAATTGGCCACAAAGCATTTAGTGTTACTGTGGATGATTATCCAAATATAATTGTTTATAAACTAATGTACAGATAATGGAATCAAATAAAAATTATTTTACTTGATTCCATTAGTAATTAGTAGTCTAGTAATTAGTTATTCTGAATATAAAATCAATTTAATCGAAAATGTAAGTTTAAAAAAGTGTTTCCCCATTCCTATTTTTTTTTTTAAATAAACATCTACACATATTCGTTTAAGCTTTTTCGAATGTTTAATTAAATTCGCCCATTCAGCTCTGAATTTATAACCTAAGAACGATTATTTCTAATATAGTTACAGTCTAATATAATTACAGACAATACTTTCTTTTTACAATTAAACACCAATATATTTTTATATGGATTTAATAGAGTTTAATTCAGATGTCCCGAAATAAATTGTTCGCAAAGAAGTAGTGCCGTAAGAACATAGTTCCAGTTGAATTTCTGACAAAAGAGAAAGAGCTAAAAATTAAATAAAAATCAAGATAAATATATATAAAAAATTTACTTAATCCTTTTGGGGTCAGCGATTTTGAGTATTGACTAAAAAGATCAGAGGACTTTTATAACAAAAATACTGAGACCTTTAAAATTTCATAAAAATCTGTTTATTTATTATTTATTCAATTACTACATGTTTGACTACAGCAGGGAATAAAAGGCAATAACGACGAATCGTTACGGCGAACGCTTTCACCAGTAACAGGGATGAGCATAGATCGTTATTAAGTTGAACCTAAATGGATTAAAAACCAGGTTCATTCATCATTAACAATAATCGTTAATAGAAATTCAGTTTTCTCTTTTAATCATGCATATCCTCGAAGTATTATCAGAAACCCAGCTATCATCTGCACCATACAAACAGAATCTGGTTCGCAGTCATTGGTCACTATTGTATCATTGATTACCATTATTTCCCAATAAATGACCCACGTTAGTATCGTCATTGCACAGTTTCGTTCTACCAGAAACTGTGTTGTATTGTAAAATTCAGGCGTGCACCGTCACTTTGTCTCATAGACAACCCATCTAATTCCGTTAACTGGCGCACCGATAATGACCATTATCGTGGTTAACCTTCGACACGATCACATGCGTTCATTGAAACAATGGTAATTGAACGTTAGTCGGTCTGCCGACATCGAGCCTTGTAATTTCGTACGCGATTCAACGAAACGCGGTAAACAGTCTCGCTGACCGAACCGTTTGTTTCTTCCCTGATTACAGGTGCGAGGGCGTGGACTCGTTAGTGGCGTACGTGCACATAGACGGGAAGAAGGAGAAAATAGATGCGTTCTGCCGTGACATGACGTCGCGACCTATCATGAGCAACGGACTACGGCTCTCCTTGGAATTTAACGGTCTCACGTCGTCCCGTCACTCTCGAGGCTTCAAGGCGGTGTATTCTTTCACTGAGAGTGAGTACAAATTGTCCTCTCGATAATTGTACGTAAATATCAATATACAGTGATTCCTCGATGAATGCGACATGAACAACGATGTTGTTAAAACAATATAAAAACAGAGAAATAGAAACAAAGCAGAGGCTTGGCTTCGTGCAAATAACAAATTTCTGAGGGGCTGAAAACCTTGCCAGGAATGCTTCGAAGCGGACTCGAATATGGCGCACTCATCGAGATATTACTATAGTAGTTATTATGTGTCTCTGAACTGGTGGTACAACTTCAAAAGGAGGTAATCCTACATGTAAAAGTAAGTGGAAAATGTGGAATAAAATTTGTTCGTATGATTCTTTGTTTTCGGAATAAACGAATTTGAAAATATGGTGGGTACGCGTGCAATCGAATAGGAGATATGGTTAATTAATATATACGTGTTACGTGAATATTTAAAATTGATTGCCTCAAAAACGAAACGTCGTACAAAGAAATTTATGTTCTAACGTTCACCTATTATGTACCTACAGTACCGGACAAAACTATAACAACTTGAGTGTAATAATTCTTTGAATAGCGTTTTTACGTAATTTAGCGTTTTCTGTATTAATTAGATTTCCTTAAATGGTATTTTCTTAAATATTAATGGTCTTAATGAAATCCGTAACTGCTGTTAATTACCATGGAAAGCGCCTAAAGAAATTGATCTTCAGAGAATTATTACAGTCAAGTTGTTATAATTCTGTTCGGTACGGTATGTCCATATTTGTGCTGACAGTAAATGGAAACGGATTGTAACGAACAGACGCGTTAGTCAAATCTTCTATTAACACGTTGACTGCTACAGTGAAAAAGGCCGTACGTAGACAGACACACTTTATTTCGTTTTTTAAGTCATAAATTGTCGAAAATATTTGAGATTAGTTAATAGAGGCTGTAGGTCTTGTTTTAAATTATACTGTGCTATTAATTTCATGCAAACATTTTATAACAGTGTTTAAATAATCCAGACACTTTTCAATGTACATTTCACCCATATTTGGGTGACGTGGCAGTCAAAGTGTTAATTGCAGTCGTATTCAACAGATTTTCGGATTCGGTTATGTCAATAACAAAGTACGACACGAACAAATTTTATTGTACGTTTTCGACTTATACTGGATGGTTCACAAGAAAGAGAACACCTAAATATCTCTTTTAGGATTAAAGATACAAGAAAATGTTGAAGAGGAAAGTTGTACTGTTCAAGAAGACAAATATGTTAATATAAACAATTTTCTGATTGTTGTTGTCTTCAAGGTCTTGTAAAGGTCATGGATGGTTTTTTAAATGGCACCATGTATTTTTAACTTCATAGTGTAGTAGCTGATGTCAAGACGAGATTAACGATATAGTAGACTATGACCTTCAAATGACCTTGGACTAAAAAATTGCTAAAATAACCTTCTCTCGGGTTGTACCACCAGCTCGGAGACACTTGGTATAATGAATTTCATCTTTGAACTGCACTGTCTGAATGACTATAACATACATTGAAGAGCAGATCTTCAATCAAAGTAGGATCCATCTGGATCGGTATAACTTTCTCCTGATCCCATGTTTAATAATATTTAAATGGCTGAAATGAAGCGAATTGAAAAATACAATCTAATGATAACGTAATACTAATAAAAAAAGTAGGATTTATCTGAATCGGTACACTCTAGTCAACAAGTTACAAGCTCCGGAGCCCCATGTTTAACGATTTTAAAATGGCTGAAATGTACAGGAATCTAAATTACAAGAGAATACTAATAAGCTTGATTGAAAATTCGGTTGTAAATTCTATAATGAAAAAGGGAAGTGCTTCTCAAAGGCCAAGGCACATAATGAAGACGAACTAACCACTCAAACGTTATTGTTCGTCACTAAAGTGCAGTCAATCGCTGGCAGTTGACACATTTCATCGTTGACAACAGTTTTCATTGCTGACGTATATGTACGTCATAACCATTACTTGAAAATAGTATTGCACGTTACAGAAAACACATGTAACATCTTACATTTTAATCAGTGTTATTTCGTAAAAATGTTTCAATTCGAAAAACCTTCATTGTTAAAGAATTATTTAAAAAAATTTCCATAATACGAATATTTCCGTCATGCTCGCTGTGTATTGACATTAGTCATAACGCATATACAAATCCTACTCCTGGATAAATATACAAATTAAAAATCTTGAAAATAAGAATTGAATGTGTTAAAAGCAATTATTCATATGCTGCTAGGAAAGTCAATCGACTTAGAATTATCCAGTATTTATCGTGTTATAATCAACGTTCCATAATTACCGTTTTAATCCAATTTACAATGATCATCGCGATTTCGCAATGAAGAGTGTTGTGGCATTATAATTCGAGATTGAAAGCTATTTCCTAAATTGGATTTCGCAATAATTGCAGCGCGAAGTCGTATTCCACCGTGATCGGTATTTGTGTTCGTTGGATCAAACAATGAGTCCAAATAACGAAGAATAGGTTATTCGATCGTGAATCGATACGTGAAACTGATTCGAATAAACAGATCGCGGATGAAACGGAGAAAAGTTGGAAAAAAGTTTCGTATTTTAATCCATTCCGCGAATAAAACCATTTAATCCTATCATGCGGTAAAACTATCTTAATGGTAAAACAAAAATATGCGAAAAGCCAGTTTCATCTTTCAGCAAATATTAAATCATTGCAAGCTGTTTTACAATTAATATTACGTTGGTGTAACAGTGGCTATTCGTGTTAACATTTATCGTGTCAAGAGTAATTAAACTTCTTGCTACAATTGAAAACTATATACAATTTCTCCAAGTACTTCTCTCACGTCATAAAAATTATACTTCCTACAATTACAATGAATTGTAGTGGAAAGTGTTTTCACTACACAGAATTGTACCTACTATGTAAAATCGACCGAATGCGTCATTTTTAATCCAATAGTTTTGTGTCCTGTTCTACGTTGTGTGTAAAAAAAATGGAAAAATGTCACCTGGAGAAAATAACTCGAATCTATTTTTGGCAAGACGAAAAACTGCGTAGAATCGCATATTAAAAATACGCAGTTACGTCAAGAAGAAGTACACGCGCACATTGGTATGCATAAAACTGGCAAAAGAATTTAATGTATTTAAAACTATTCAATTTTCCGTCATATGTATTTCTATATCCTACATCGTTTCATCGATGCAGCCCGTTCCATTTCCTCGGAGTACCGTTGGGAATTTTGTATACAGTATCGAGGTTCGAAATTTAATGAAAATATGAAATAAACTTTTTCGTATTCTCATAAAAATTTCGATTTTTATACTTTTGTAGGCGTAAAACGAGATAGAAATGATATATAGACTGAGTAACCAATAACCAAATTCTTAAGTTTATTATAGTATTTCAAAGTGAAACATTGTGCATACTAATCACAGTGACCTTAATATAAGAACCTTTTTGACACCTTTGCTCACAATTTTATCTTGGCGTAAATATTTACGCCAAATACATTGGTTATTCCTTTTTCTCTTTCAACAATTATGAATTTCGATCAGTTTTACAGAGTGTATATTATTCTCCACAAATATATTTAGCTGACAGGAATCCTATAGTTTTAAATACTTTAAAAAGGAAGTCATAGTGATTACGAAATACATTCACAATCTACTACATAATCTTAGTATTATATTCTAGTTTTTGTTACTTTTACATACGAATATGTACGTACAATTTCATGTAAAACAATCTTCATATCTGATAGCCAAGTGTTAACACAAAATTCATGTGGTCATCAACCACAAATACGAAAAAATTCGTAACTTATATTAACATTAGAACTACAGGCGTTCAATGTCAAATACATTGAATTGCATAAGATATTAATATTTATACTATACAACACGGTATAGTATAAAAGACTGTAATATAAAATATATAATAAATTAAATGTAGTCATGAATATCGATGAAAGCACTTGTATGAATTTAGTAATTGTAAAACAACAAATCTGAATTCCGTCATTTTGACGGGTTTGGTAGTTCTAGTATTAAATCTGTTTAAATTAGAGTGAAAACTCCAAGCAGATATTGCCAAAGGAATATTTTAATGTACAACCCAAGTAATTTCTTCCACTAATCACCACAATTAGGCGATGACATTAGACAAAAACTTAACCAATGGGATTCCGCATGAGCATCATTGACATTTTCCAACATCTGTACAAATTCTCAACTCTTCGGTGATACATGTGAGATTTAACAATGAATTCAAGTAACTAATAAAGCTAGCAAATAAAACAAAACAAGAAACCACAATAACGATCATCAGAAATTTGGTATAATGTATAATTGAAGCACTAAACACTGCAATCTATCTACTGAGCTTCCTTAAAATCCTTGTAACTTTGTCATTTCGTCGACTTCAGGCATAGCATTTTAAGTACACATTTCCAAAATGTCATACTTTAAAAAGACGCAATTTAAAAATATCCATTTTCTTTGTCATGCCGTCGAATTCAGGCATAGGGTTTTACACATTTTCAAAATGTCATACTTTAAGAAAAGTCAATCTTAAAAAATCCTTTTTTCGACCCCTCCAAATAAAGGAGTATCCCGTTAAAGTTTCTGACACCAGACACCTTCCACCCTGTACACTCAGAAAGTCCCAGAATTCGTACCAACCAGCTCTCTCGCTCTACCTCCGTCAGTCTTTGTATCTCCTATCCTCCTTTGTCTAGTAAATTCAGATATTGTCAGTACCATAAATCGGTTCAATGTGCCCAGCTAAAGATAGACGATACGCATCATTGAGAATAAGTTATTGGTATAGGACGTGTTCGGGACGTAACATCGGATCCATGACGTACGGTCTTATACACGCTCGTGGCGTCTGCCGCAGTCCAGGGGCCACCCTTTCTACTGCGTGCCTATGTCCCGTCAAAATTTCAATTTCCGTTGAGCATTCTATCGTGATGGCAATGTGTCTCTCTTCGTACGGCCGTTTATCATC